CGGATGACATCTCCTCACGGGGGGAGTCTCCTCTCCATCTGGAGCCTCTAGACCACTCGAACCTGAGGGGGTCGGCTCAAATAGAGAGCGTCTCTGAGACTCGAAACTCGGCTCTAATAGCCGTTGTTATGGGGGGCGGGGATCTCATTGTCATATTATACAATATCAGTGGTACGCGTCGGTCTGGGTCTAGTCTATGCTTGTCTCGCTTGTCCTACGCGACGAAGCTTTTGGTGGCTTCGGTACTAAATGCGTCACTAATGCATTTGCATACTCACTAAACATTCATTAAAATTAAGTTTTATTAAAAAAAAACTGATACCTAGCTAGCTGCGGCGGAATACAGCTTATACAGCGGCGGGATCTCGGTCTATCATGAGGATATTGAACTATGCCTGTGTTGAACATTAGCTTGCGCAGATCACGAATTGGTGCACTAGTGACATTTCAAGCTTATATGTCTCATACAATAGGTGCAGCATCGAATCTGTTTCTCTCTAATAAAATAAGTATTTCGTATTTACGAGAGTATAAATCTAAACCTAACCAAAAAAGTTAGTCGTACATTCAACACGGGTTTAACAAAATAATTTCATACATAATTTACCTAGACATGGTTTAAAAAAAAATTAAAACAGTATTTGACTTTTTTTGTAGTAAGACCGTATATTTTTTATTTTTAGTCAGTTTCTAACGGGCAAAAAAAAACTTATATCACAAAATATTTTATTTTATAAATTCTAATTGAAAAAATAATCCTTTTCTGATTTTATATTATACTCATAGAGGAAGGATTTCTTAAAAAGCTATTTTTTTGTCTAATCCAGCTTGATTCCTCAGCTGAGTTGAATTTTTTATAGTGTTTTTTTCTTTACTCCATAAGAAGGCAGATAACACTTACGTTTATCTACGTACCATTGTTTTCAAAGAACTTATACTGAGCCAATAACAATAAATGGCATCGCTGACTAATGGCACACGTATAACTGAAGCCATAATTAAGTTTTACGTGAAACAAATATTACACTTAGATCATAAACATACCCGACATTCAGTTAAATGAGTTGAGTGATGAATGAGTTGGTGTCACTTTATTTGACGCAGGGTGACCAATCATTTATCTATGCCCGACATGATAATGACATCCAGTCGATTCGATTTTTTTTCCATTGTCTATCAAATTAGAGTAGACCATATTTGTTTCTTAGGTTTTCACGCACATGACTCATTAAATAAAACAAGTTTCAACGTGTTAGATGCACTAATTTTATTTATTTATTGAAGTTTCGCACCGTTTGCAGGAATGCGTCATCGGAATAATGTTTTTCTTATTTACTTTGTCATAGTCTTCGTCTTTGTAGAGTAGACCATCTTAACCGCCAATCACGGACGCGACTTCGCTTTAGTGGCATTTCACGGCACAGACACCGACACCACAGTTTCAATGCATGTTTTTAAGTTTGATCTATTTATCTTTCGTTCAATTCAATCCTAATAATCATAGGAATATCGTAAGAATGTTTAAATGAGGCATTCGGTCAAAGATATATTAATTGAAGAATTGGAATTTTAATCGAAAGAATAGTAATGGATTTCTATTAGACCATAACAATGGATAAGTGTGAAATCTTGAGAGGCTCAATTTCAGCCAAAAGTGATACCTATTCGATAAATATATAAAAAAGGGATAAAAATAAATTGTGTCAAGGGAATCAATTGAATAATCAAAATCTTAAGATTCGCCCATAAACGAATTAAAATATAAAATAATTATACAATTATGTAGCTGAAGAAACTCTGCAAAGTCGTTAAATCACTAAAAAATACAAACAGTTTATTGCTTGTCCAATGCATCAATCGCGGTAATTAAACCTCTACTAACCATAGTTCAAACCCAAATAATAATATGAAACTGAAAATGATCTATTATGGATGTACAACTTTAATTCAAATAAGTGACCTTTCTCCCACCGAACTATTGATAGCAATAAACTTATATAAAAACTATACTTTTAAGGATTCAAAAACTATTCTCATTCTGGATATAGTTTAGAATCGAACTATTAGTATAAGCTAAGTAAGTTGAAGCTTTGTCTTTTATTATTATGATTGAATCAATCAAGTTAATTAACATTTACCCAGTTTCTGTACACGTGTTTTACTGTGCTAGTTATAATAACTTTGAGCTCATCCGGTAATACCTGCGACGCAAAAGCGTTTCTAGGCTTTCAGGTATGGATTAACTACTGCAGTTCCATTTGCCCTACTCTCTTTATAGTCGAAATAATTAACAGCTTTAATATTTAAATATATTTGCTTAATGATAGGGATGATGGCGGGCTGAAGTAAACGTAAACTGTCTATTAAGTCAGTTAGATTATCAAAAAATAATGTACTTATTTTTTCTTTTGTCAATCAACCAAAAAAATTACATAGACAAAGCGCGTCAAAATTTGGGAGTGACTGCTCGTGACGCCACTTCTAAATAATTTTTTTACCAAGACGTGACGTCATACTACACTTCGTAATGTTTTGATTATGTGAATGAACAAATATATGTGTCCAATACTTTTTGATAATCTACCTACCCGATGGATGAAGAAAAAAAGTAAGTCACATCATTTTAATATCTTGCCTAGCTAATATAAAACGCCGAAAGATTTCTGCATGTCCAGGTTTTTGTATAATAAATCTTACCCACGCTAACATTTCATAAACAAAAGTCTTGGTCAAAAAAAGGTGTTTTTGGAAAATTATAGTTTATCTAGAAGTGATGTTCTATCCTTTCTACAAAATCACTGACTAAACGAAAGGTTCACTTTTAAAAAAGTATTTACTCAAACTAATAAGTAAACCAATAATAAATATAAATGGGAACATTAATATTTTAAAATCTCATTACTAAGTTCCTGACAAAGAAGTTAAACTACGACACCTTATTTACGATTAAGATTGCTGAATTTATTTGCCCCTTCAATTGAGCGACCGTACTACAGACAGGGACGAACGTCCTTTAATCGGAAATACGGGTAGTTTTTTTTAAGAAAGGTAGAGCGCCCGCCTGGCGAAGTAACCTCCATCTTACAGAAGGTCACAGTCAAATAATACTACCATTTCCATAACCATACAACTCGTAGAAAGAGGGTAGATGCAGATGCGAAAAAAAAGGATCTAAAAGATGACGAATCCCAGTGCTCGGTAAAACCTACACAGGTTTTTGTAGCACTGGCTAAATGTATTGTTATTATTTACAGTAATGTGAAATTCAATAAATAAAATTTGGTGGTCTTGTGTTTCTGCCGGTGATTAAGGTTCCATGACTCCACGGGGTAAGGATAGGGGCAGGGTAGTCAACTACAACAAAAATATTTTTGGTATCGCCAGCGTCTATAGACTATGGTGGCCACTTACCATCATCATCATCAGCCTATTAATGTCCCCACTGCTGGGGCACGGGCCTTCCCTATGGATGGAATAGGAAGATTGGGCCACCATCAGGCAGGCCATACTTGTTTGCCACCCTTTTAACATAAAAAAGTAATTTTGAGATTACAAAAAACTCATGAAAATTTAGTTTTAACACAACTGTGGTTTCTCTTTTGAACGGTCTATTATATTTTTTTATGTGTAAATAAAGTATTTATTTACATTGATTAGTAAGTTCATTGCAAGTGATTTTAGTGTAGTGCAGGCTATTTATGTATCAATATTTATAAAATGTATATTCTAAGTGAAAAAATAAATGTGACTCACGATAGTAGGTAATTTGGTAAGGCGGAGATTCGTACCGGCTCAATGAAACATTCATTCTGATATTCCTCTCATATTGTCGTAATTGAGTTATAATATCAGGGATAATCACGAATACATTACTTATTGTACCGCCGTCTCCAGAAATAATTGGTCAATTTGCATTTAATTCTTGGGATAGAATAATCGTTGTGGGCGTATACTATTAGGGACAAAGTTATTTCAAATATATTAGTGAAAATTTAAATATTTTGTATAGTTAAATTTTGGCCATTAAAACAATAGGGATGATGGCGAGGTAAAGTTAACAATAGTTATTTACGTCCGTCAGTTACATTATCAAAAAATAATGGACACTTTTTTTTGTCAAGTAACTAAATAATTACAACAACAAAAGCGCGTGAAAGCTCGGTAACGACGGCTCGTGACGTCACTTACAAACAAAAACTGTACTAAGACATGACGTCATGCAAAAATTCAAATCAATATAATCTCTGTAATGTTTTTATAATGTGAATAAAGAAAAATATGTGTCCAATACTTTTTGATAATCTATCTGATAGACGATAAAGTCATCATCCCTATTGTATTTTAAAGCAGGAAAATACCAGCTCACCTGAACATTATTTCTTTAAATGGTTACACAACAACTTTCTTGGCTGTTAGCAGGCAAGTCAGTAAATTAACAGGGTGTGCGCGACAGGTGGATTATTAGAAAAAGTTATAGTAGTTTTCCATGGAGGGACAAACAAGAAAGAACGCAAGCGTGCCCGACACCCGTATATTCTAACATAGGTTAGTAAATGTCACTTTTCTATTTATTAAGAAAATGTTCTAAAAATAAGATTTCTACTGTACTCTTACAACTTCACGGAAACTAACCATCCTATCAATGTAAAACACATATTATTTCTATTGGATTCGTACTGTTTGTTACATGGTATCAGGCTAAAAAATAGTTTGTGGATCTAGTATTAAACATTTGATAACTTTATATTTTATATAGATTTGATATAAAACGAAGTTATAGCGCAAAGAGCTAACTAGAAGATTCATAGAATTAGGACTAAGTAATAACTAGAGTGAACTATCATGAAACTGGGACTCTCCGATTTGAACTGCTGATATCAGCTAGGTACATCCGCAAAGGGAATTCCAGGCTAACTAAAGCTCGAGGCGTGGACTCGGATCCTCTTGCCGATACTATGAGCACGCACAAGGTGAAGCAACTGAGAAAGGGCAATACGGACCAATATAAAACGGGGTACATCTTCGCAAATTGTATTCAGACGATCACTGAACGTTGAAGGCCTGCTTCAGTACAAATTAAAAACCAATATGTTCACTCTGGTAAGTTTAATAAAGGAGGATCTTTTAAATCTTACAAAAGAAGTAACTGGATTGTTCTTAAAATATTAGAAAATTATATTACTTGTAGTAACTTCAAATACCTTTGTTGTTTGATATTGTTTCTATTAATCTTGGATTTTTGGGATCTGTTCAAAATTTTAGTGTTACAGAAAATACCTTTACGATGCGAGTGACGCAGCCTTATTTTTATTGGTGTTTCGATAACGAAATCGGTTCGTTAGAGCTTTTTGGGCAATGTCAACATTTATTATAATAACTGCTGCTTCTGTAGTTTCGAATATTGTTTAAAATTTCATTTGTTCATTTAAAAACTTACGTTATTTAGTATGTTATTTGATATCCTTGTCGAGATTTCTTTTATAATATCAAGCAAATTTGCAACAGAAAATAATCTTTTTAAACTCCCGTAGCAAATTAACGAGTATGAGCTTTAATTTAGTTTTCTTAGCCTTTAAGCAATTATGGTTTTAAATTTCCTACATTGGTTGTAAATGATTTTGCTAAAATAACAACTACTTGCTTCTAATTTTTATCAAACGATGTAAAGAAAGTGTTAAAACCGATGAATATTCCACTCAGATACCGAAACGTTGTCATTTCACCGACAGGTGTCTGCTACGGTAGAATTATGAATTGTAATTTTATATAGAAAATTGATATACTATCTACATGCATACATAATTCATAATACTTTGAATGTCAAACATCAAATTAATAATATTATTAATATATACGGGTGATATATTTTTATTTTGTAAATTGTATATTATTTGAGTACTTAGTTATTTCTAGTTTTTAAGTTTTTAGATATTAAGTAGTTTCAAGCTTTTGTAATGTTAAATAATATTATTTTATTTCAGGTAACAGTTACCTCAATGGTTTTGGCCATCGGCCTCTGTGGTCGTCTGGAGCCACAGTATCTTCCCCCGCGTCCGCCGGGCGGAGGCGGAGGCGGTAGCGGTGGTAATTTCGGCGCAGGTAGCGGAGCGGGCTTTGGAGCGGGTGGCGGTAGCGGGAGCGGAAGCGGCGGCGGTTTCGGCGCCGGCAGCGGAGCGGGATTCGGAGTGGGCGGCGGCGGTGGCAGCGGCTCACAAATACCCATCACGAAATTCAAAAACGTAAACAACGGTGATGGCACGTACAGCTTTAAGTGAGTCGTGACTAAGCTGTGCTTTCATTATCTACAAACGTTGAAGTAAAAGGTGGAAGTGTGCTTTTTTAAGGAAATTATACATAATAATCTCGCCCATCACTAAAAGCAAAATGTTAAAAAGAAAGCTAGATAGAAAGTAATGCAGATTAAGTCTGTGATACTGTTGTGTAAATTCGAGAACTATTCTAATGTAACGGTGTGATATTATTATTTTGTTTATATATTAATCTATTATTATTATTATATGTATAGATAATTGTAGCACAACCCTGATGTAGTGCAAACCACACAAAGACAAGGGTAACGCTTTAAAGTATCGCAATAGTGTAATTTTTAAATGCCACATAATTACTTTTTCAAATTTATTTATCGTGAATCAGGACAAATATTAATCGAGACTGTTGAGATCATCTTCAATGTTCAAGTTACAAAACGGGCAACGGCATGAAAGCTCACGAGAGCGGCAACCCCCCGCGCTCCGGAACCCGAGGGTTCACGATGACCAAGGCGGAGGGCAGAATCTCGTTCCGTGCTCACAGACTATACATTTATCACTATATCAACTGTAATTTTTTTTTTACAAATAGTTACGAAACTGGCAACGGCATCTCAGCTCACGAGAGTGGGTCCCCTCGCGCTCAGGGTCCCGAGGGTCCCGCGGTGACGGCGGAGGGCGGGTTCTCGTACCGCGCGCCCGATGGCCAGCAGATCTCAATCACTTACACCGCAGACGAGAACGGCTTCCACCCAGTGGGTCCTCACTTACCAACCCCACCTCCCATCCCAGAAGAGATCCTCCGCTCCATAGAGTTCAACAAGCGCAATCCCTCGTCGTAAGTAAAAAAAAACTAAAAACATTTTTACTAGAAAAATTTCCACTTGGTCATGGTGCCAGGCTGGTATGGTGATTCGAACCAACATTGATATCTTGATAGAATTTTTCTAGTTAAATTTTCTGGAGGTTATATATAAATGATGTTATACAAGAATAGAATGATTACTAAAAATTGATTTTATCATTAACGTAAAAAACCTTGTGAATCTTAGCTTTAATTGAAATAGTAAAATGTATAAACCACATTTAAAGCGAAAAAAGGTTTTAAGAACCCTTAATTTTTATTCAAAACTGATTTTACTTAAGTGCTCATCTATATTCATAATTTTCAATTCTTTAATGTATCCTATCCTGAGTAACTTGAGTGGTAAAAAAACTCGGGAGTAATTCTGTTACCTTGCTGATACAATAGAATTGAAAAATGCCATAAAATCACTTATTAGTAACTTTACTTACCTGAGGGTAAAAGCTGTTAATGTGCATAGAAAAAATGCAGCAGATGGACCGTGTTGGTTGATACAAAAACATGCTTTTGATTCAAATAACTATTAAAGTCATACATCTATTAGGTATGTCTTTGGGAGGATATTAGTTCTCATCTGCGTTTACTTTGAAATTGAAGTTCCTAGGTAATAAATGGAATTTAAATTATGCAAATCCATTTTTATTAATATTGAAACAAATTAAAAAAGAATGGCGGTGGCACTCCGGGAAGGCCGACAGAAGTGAAAAATCAAATTTCAAAAAAACAAAGCAAGTAAAAAACTCATCTTCATCTCAAAAATACCCAAAACTGCTAAAGAAGAAGTCTAAAGAAGTTTTCACTTCAAAAAATAAGAAAAACTTATCTAAAGAAATTTTTCAAAACATCGGGCAGTTAAATGCTTAAAAAAACAAAATATAGCAACATAAATTGTCATATAAAATATAATACATTACAATAATTGCTATTTCTTTTTTCAAATGTATAAAGCCGCGTACTCAGTAGGCAACATTTGTTTATAAACACTGCCTGTAGTACAGTAAAATTTCCCGATACTTAAATCCATTTACTTTTCCAATGTAACTTCGTTTTAATTTACATTTCAATTTGTACTTGCCACGAGATTGTCGTCGTCTCAGCGATGCAATATAATAAGAATTTCCACATAATTAACTTATGCTTACAGTGAGGGAGCTTACAACCCTGGATCCGGAGGAAGTGGCTCCGGTGGTGCCGGTGGCTTTGGAGGCTCTGGAGGCTTCGGGGGCTCCAGCGGGTCGGGCTCTTCTGGCGGATCCAACGGCTATCACTATTGATCTCAATACTTTAAAGACGCTTACACAGTTACAGCTTAAGTTATGTTTGTGATGCAAGGAAGATGTCGCTGAATATCTGCTGCTTAGAACTTATTGTACTTACTACTATGCATAATTCTGATGTACAATGATTTTATAGAGTCATATATTCAGAGCATAAGAATAAGTAGATATTTTATCTTAAGTTGTTAAAATGTGACAGTGAACGAAATTTTATGGGAATTGCTAATTACTTTGTAGCCATTTAAAATCTTTACTGTAATACTTTCTATAAGAATTAGTTTATAACTTACAATTATTTAAATCTACTTCTAACTTTAGAATAATATGTTTCTTATAGTTTCTATTAAGTATAGTATTTTTTTAATAAGCATACAGATCGAAGCGTACTGTGTCCCCGTACCCTCCGAACATGAGATCTAAGCAATCAAGACGATAATTGCATGACCTGATTTTTGGACTGTGATACCACGTAATAATTGAGCACTCACTATAGCTTATACATAGTTTATTTATAATATTTGTCGCTGTGTTAATACAGATTTATGTGATGAAATAAAATGTAATGATTGATTAATTTTGGCTTTTTAGTTATTTCATTGATGTACATACCCAATTCCTTATTTTTCTTTTCTAATTATATTATAGCTATAAAACATAGAGAAAGTACATTTTGATGATGAAAGAGTGACAGAGACTGGCCACGTCGATCATATTGCCACATGGTACTGTTTTATAACAAAGAGGAAAAAACTATAAAGGCAATAATTGCAATATTTAGCATTTATTTCATGATTATTTAAATAGAATTATGGCTTACGATGTACATAAAAACTTCTGTGACAAGAGATTATTCCCACAACTTTGGTACAAGTTCTTGTTTTGCTTGTACCAAAGTTCTTAATTCAAATTAAAGCGCAAGCGTGTTTGACACATCATTCCATCTTTGTCAATTGTTTAACCGGGCGCGAATGAGGTTGGGTACGTAATAACCGAGAGGTTTTTAGATGCAGAATATTTTATGTTATTGTACGGTACTGTGCCAATCCCGTTGTCATAGTTGCTAGAGGTACGGATGGGGGATGAGATGCAGTGCTAAGTTAAAGTTTTAGCAAAGCATCAGAGGGATCTGTGCAGGTATACATTATATACCTTCATAGGTGACTGGGGTATGGCACATCCGCCCTCATAGTCGGTATAACATTTTTGAGTGAAAAGTATAGCTATGATTTATAGATATTTATATTGAATTTTCCAATTACTTGTTTATTTTCATATTTTTTAAGAATTTCATTGACGACAATTAATGTCATCTAAAAAAATATTAAATAATTGTTTATAAGCTGGTTTCTGAGACTGAGAGTAAAGTAGAGATTGATAATGTGACAGATAAACACCCGTATCTTTTTACGTTATCTGATTAACAACTCGATACCTCCACCCGAAATAAAGTGTCTTGACAGACAGACGGACAAACGGACAGACGGACAATGATCCTATAAGAGTTTCGTTTTTGAAGTTATACTTCTTTAGGCGCGTTATGAAAAAATGATGAGAGTGAAATTTTAAGATGCGCGCGCATCACATCACACACAAAAAAATTAACAGTTTTGTGTTTACAGCACATTAAGAACATCTACCGACAAAATAGAAACTCTACTATTTTGTGGGTGCTAACGACTGCATTGTGAAGAGGCCTATCAAAAGTATTTATTAATCTGGAACAACAGAACCAAAGCGCGATTCAGGAGACTACAGCGCCATCTCTTGACCATTGGTGTAGTAGAACCAAAAACCACATCTTTATTTTTTGTAATAAAGTAACAAAAAATATTTATTAATCTGGAACAACGGAACCAAAGCGCGATTCAGGAGACTACAGCGCCATCTCTTGACCATTGGTGTAGTAGAACCAAAAACCACATCTTTATTTTTTGTAATAAAGTAACAGTTATAGGTATTCATATTTATAATATTTATCCACATGTTTCTAGTTTGTATATTCGGAATACGTGTTTGAGTTTCATACAAGTGCAAATCACATATGTTCTAATAAATTATATTCAGTAGCGATTTTAATTGAATATTTTGATTATTTATTTATTTTTTCAAATTAAAACTGAACTTTATTGACTGTGTCCTTTTCCAGACTTTTTATTAATTTATTGTAATTAATTATTTGCGTGCAATTAAAAACTAATTTTAAACGATGCCAAAGAAGGATAACTTCTCACGCGCCCACAAAAGTACACGCACCCATTTTTTTCTTTTTAGGTACGGAACCCTACAAAGATGGAATGAGGTTTAAACACAATTATCTTTTAAAGGAGAATGGGCAAAAATGTATAGAAGCCTGCCTAGGAACCAATAACAACATGCGACATATCATTGGAAAGATTATTTTATGTACTTTAACTATTGTTATGGCGGGAAGTCCCAAGGTGGTGTGTGAAAAAAAGTTATGACGCCATAAAGCCAGTTTTTTTAAGTTTTTTCATGTAGTTCATTAATTTATTTTAGCTGTTTATTTTGTAAAAATAACATAGTAAAGTACAAAAAAAACAGTTTAATTCAAAATATAGTCCCACACTATAGGGTCTGTACGTATATACCTATTCCTTAGCATCTGATGCTTTTATATTGACCTTCGGTCCAATCTTACAACACTTGTTGCATAAGATATCGATACTACCTATCAAATCCAGATGAGAAATCTATATCATTTTTATCAATCTATATCTATCACATATTATATAACTATATGTTTATATATTTTTGTCAATTGATGAAAATTGCATAGCAGGTAGCATGCTGTGGTAACAGATGTTAACGTCGGAAACAAAAAGTAGAGTCGATATGAAGACAAAACTACTTTTCAATCTTTGTCAATTAAAATATATATTAAGTCTCCAGCTGAATTAAAATTCTGCTTCTACGAATGAAATAAAATTCGGTTAAAAAATATGAGAAAGACGAAGCGATCTTGTAGCCTATAGTTTTTTTTAATTAGATGGCTGCACCATCGCTTTCTTTCTTTCATTCAAGAGAGTTTTCAATTTCATGCGAGTGTCACTCAGTCTATTCTCATGTGTACGTGCAAGACGCATTAAGTTTTTTTTAACTATAAATGTACCTATGTTCACAGCGTCGCGATAGTTGTGCGCCCTGGCTTCGCTTCGGTATAGAGCTGCAGTGTAGACTATAGTTTTTGTTCTCAGGTTTGTATTATACACATGACTTTTTTCATAGATTTATAGTGGAATTTTGCGTAGTTTAGGACCCGTTGTACGAAATGCACCATTGCTCTGCTGAAAAAAACGTTATCCCTCTAGTCATTATTTACAATACAACCCTGAGAACAAAAACATAATTCTACAGCTCTACACAGAAGCGAAGCGACTGCGGGTCAGTAGTAATATTATGAGTAATAAGAAGGTATAAATAAGTATCCGCTGTTTTTAAGTAAAGATTTTAAAAAAATCATTGTGAAAAAGCAACACAACGTTTATTTAAAGCATTGTCCATCACAAGCCACTACTTTTTTCTCTCAGGCATCATCTGTAGACCTCTTCATCATATGAGAGTATCCACAAATCAATCCAATTTTTGTATCCTCAAAAGATGTAAAGCAATGCTCAGGCAAACCATGTGCCATCGATTGGAATAAATGATAGGCAGATGGCGCAAAGTCAGATGAATACGGCGGGTGGGGTAACACTTTCCATTATGAACCCTTTCACATTTTTTGTAAAAAATCGTAATGTTTGAGCGCCAATTGTACACCTTTAGAAAAGATTTTGACTATTTCCAATAGACGTTAACAGAAGATTTATTCTTCCTATTGTAAGGTAATGTTGAATATTTTAAAATGCTATTTTCCTTTTTTTGTACTGATCGTTCTACTGCAGATAGTTTACGGAAAAAACGATAATATGCACAACTTCTAACGCCTCAATCTCTCAATAATGTTCAATAAATTAGATCAAATTAATTACTACGACAGCAGAAATATGTTTTTGTTGTAACATAATGTACAAGAATTTTGATTTTCCATCTAATAATTATCAAAAAAAAACATCTAACCTCCATGAGTTTTCCCAAAAAATAATGCAGGTTTACCTCGTATTTTGATATTGAATTAAATAGAATTACTATCAAAAAACTTTCATAAAACTAATCTACCGTCATTGAACTACTGAAATATGTATATATTTTATAATTAGTTCATTAATAATTATTTTATAAGACTCAAAACATCACCCGTAAAATGCAATATATACTAGTGCAAACTTACCTACGCGCCGATCAGTATGGCAGTGGCATAGTTTTGTAAAAGGGCTCTTAAGTGTTTTTCTGAACGGGTATTATTGTGTATTTTTGTTACCTATTTTACACTATATGTGATAGAAGTTGACCTCAATACATGTTTATAAGTTGGATGTCAGCTTTCAATTTGACGACACTGTATGAAATATAAAACAGAGAGAAAAAAGCAGCCCTTGCTGAGTTTCTTGCCGGTTCAAAGCATAAGGTCTCCTGCCGAAGATTTGCGCACCGATGGCGTAGCTTTAAATTTTCAAATATGCTTGTAAAAGCCTAAACTGAGATTCTTTTTCTTGGAGTATTTGGAAGGTACAATGACGCTATAAAAGTCATCGATACCAACAGCATACACACAAAAAAATGTATAGATTCGGCTTTTACAATAAGCTTATGTGTGGTTGTCAAATAAAGTTCTCACTGCACTTTGCTGAAACAACATTTATTTTGAGAAATACAGGGCAGAGCTGATTTTAAGCTGGAATTTGCGAGTAGAGAGGGAGTTCGTAGGGAAAGAGATATCCTTTTGTATCGCGGGTACGGTGCAGTCGGAAACACTGGGTGTGGACCAGAGGACCCTGTATGCGTGAAGGCAGTCAAGGATCAGGGTGTATCTTCACCCGAAGAACCTAAGCCAGTTGAATACGCGGGTGTGATTTGAAATTCGTGTTCCAATTTTAAATCACACCGCAGATTCCAGGGTTAAAAGTGATTACCTATGTACTTACAGAATAGCACAGCTGTGCAGATGATTGACAATGACCCGTACATTGCACGGCTCCACTTTTTACCCCGCTGCGCAATGCAAGAGCGCGAAGCGCGACGCGCAGACAGGGTTATGTGTTTAACAGTCTATATATGTATGATTGTTCCTTTGTGGCACACTAGAGACCAAACGCCTGGACCGATTTTGATGATTCATACATCAATCGATTCGTCTCAATCATGGGAGTGCTACTATATGATAGTAATCAAAATTCAGTATGGGCAAAATTAGGCGCCATATTGTGACGAAGTAAAATAAATAAGTTGACAAAATATGTCGAGTGGGGTATCACTGTCTAGATAATCAAAAATCATGTTTAGGTTTCTAACACCATTTTTCATTTTATATGATTGTTTAGGATCTACAACGCTTTAAAGTTGTATATTAACCACTTACGCTTTTAATTTCAATCTTACGTTTGTATGGATTTTTGTTGCTCTTTCACCTAAAAAATACTGAATGGATTTTAATGAAACTTAACAGT